ACTTCATCCAACTAAATCCAAAATATCTGGAATAAGTGTGCTTGTGATGTCATTTTCAGCCAGCCTCTGCAGTAGTGATCATCTAGTGGAACAGCAGTAGTTAGGTCCCATCAATAGATGCCCTTGACCAATTGTGTCATCTCATTTCTTGAAAATAATCCAAAGTTTCAAAAACATTCAACTGTTCCTTCACTGTCATTCATTGTCTTGTTGTTTTTGATGCCTTTCACCTGATCTGACCAGATGAAGCCTCCTGTAAAATATTCACCACAGGGGGAACTTGATATGTCTCTACGTATATATGGGACAAGATCGTCAGTCCAGGAAATGACTGCTACGTGCTGCGAACCTAAACCTGAGGTTTCAGTTACAAGTCACGTTTTCTGTTTAAGAGCTATAATCAGTGACTAAATCCACTTCTTTATTCAAATGGGTAGAAGGAAGAGGGGAGTATTAACATCTGTAATATAGCCAGTGCAGTTGTTGCAGCATACAGTTGGAATGACTGCATGTCAGATGTTAGTACACCCTTAAGAGACCTTAACTGTTCTGACAACTACTGTACACCACAGGATGCCACTTAGTGAAGATTATATCTCTCTCTTCAGTTTGTTTATACAAGTAGTTAACACTGTAAACAATATATCTGAGACAGGCATCGGCTCTAGAGTAGCAGGAGACGTGACTCATGTGAGTGTTCTGGTCTGGTGACACTGTCGACCTCCTGCACAGGCCATGATGAGCTCACTTGTTCCACTGACAGCCAGCGAGAGGTGTGTCAATGTAACGGGAGCAGGGTTCAAAATTCAGATAAAGGTCATGATCTCTGGGAATTGACAGAAAGAAAGGGAGACTAAATGAATACAGTTTGCAAACAGAAGAAGGTGAAACTGGTGGGAGACCCTGGGGTAGACCCTCAACAGGAAAAGGTTGCATTAAAGACAGACGTCTGGACTAATTTGATCTGCTGCCACAGCACAAAATGGATGGATGGATGGAGTCATGGATTTGAATGCTCAAATAGATGCATAATGAACATTATTTAAAGGTACAGTGTGCAGAATTTAGTGATAGCTAAATTGAAATTGCATGTTGCAGCTGAACACCCCTCACCTCACCCTCCCCCTCCAAACATGAAAAAGAACCTGTGGTAGACTTAAGTTGTCATAAAACCTCAAAAGGACTGAATTATGAACTATTTGTGGCAGATTAAAATATATTTTCTTGATATTTGTCTCAACTCACCCAGCAAACAACAAATCAAATTCCAATGTATTTCTATATATTAATATATGAAAAATTAATGACACAGTCCGACTGAAAATTCTTGTCTGTAAAGACGATAAAGGTCAACAAATCTCATAATTTAACATGATTCATGAGCCTGTGGGACTTTAAGAAACACATACCAAAGCATGTCTCTCTCTCTTCCACACAGAGATCAATTATAACAACTATGTTGTAATTATTATTATGAGTGGATCAGCAATGACAGGATATGGAGTAATAATGGACACAAGATGCAGTGGGTCTGTATTACTGCTTTACTGGAGGCCAGGTGATTATATGTTGTAGAAGCTTCGTTTTTCAGCTGTTGAATAAACAGTACAACATATTTAAAGGTCAGAGCTATTCTTAGAAAGTGTGCTATAATTTGGTTGTTTAGACTGTTATCACAAGCATGTAGTGATGTACAGTGGAGCCATTAGAGAGACAGCAATAGCATATATTCTAATGTAACATTATTTCTCTGTGTATTACTCCCATGGCTCTTTTTTAAAGCCAGGATGTGAACATTACTATTTGAGCAACTTTGACTCTGTTCAAATGACACACGTATTTGTCTGTAGAAAAACTAGACCAAGTGAAACTACTACAGTGTGTTACTTTAAACTGTCTCCTCTCAGTGTCCCTGGATCAGGGTTGGGTGGAAATAAACATTGATATCTTTTTCTAATAGTACCACATCTAGGAACTAGGAAATACTGGGTGGTATACATATGTATCTTTTATAAGGTATGATGCAGTTATATATCAGTGTTTTACAATCACAAGTTACAGTAACAGTATATACTGACAACTGCTGAACACCTGATTTTCAATGTACCAGGATATGTGCTATTCCTTGGCATGTAAATGTGTACCCTTACTCTTCCAAACCATTACAATCCAGCACAACAATGGCATTAACAGGGGGAAACAAGTAGAAAACAGTTGAGTTGATCCCTGTTTCAAAAATATTTTTTGTGTGTAAATGTACTATAGATATTGCAGAATTAATGTATTTGCATGCACTGTATATTGGTATTATTTATTTATTGTGTTCACTTAGCTTTACTTAACATTAGAATGGTGGAAGACACAAATTATTGACACGTATTATTTTGTCTTGTTTGTATTTCAAACAATTACCACCACAAAGAAGTTATCACATTCCTGCACATCTACAGTTAATTGAAATCTTAAGTTGTTTTAGAATTGAATGAAATCTCGACAGTTAATTCAAGGTTAAACGTAACAGATTGTCATGCAATACTTTACTTTCATCAACGGAGGGCAGTATTTACCTGCCATGTAAAGGGCCATGAACCGCAGAGAAGCATTAAACACAGTAATCAGGTTGTATTCATTAGAAAATCCAGTCTTTTACTGTGTTCATTTAGCTTGTAAGGTCAGGTACATATCAGGTCAGGGAGCTTTACATTGAGGTTGTCAGGTTTGCAGCAAAGGATGCTGTGAAAAAAGGGGCGAGATAACACAGACAAACATGGAGAAGCCAATGATGCAATACTTTTTATGCAATCATGCATCACCTTTATATCAATAAAGACAGATACAGGTATATTAGGGTTGATTTTGCTTGTGCATCCTTCATTATCTTTGCATTTTCATTCATCCTATTTATAACGTACATATTTCCACTTCTGCTCAGACACAACTTTATTTTAATATCGATGCCCCTCATCAGAGAGATAAACGATGATAACAGTGATGGATGTTCCTCGGCACGGTCGCATCTCCTCCGTCTGTAATTAACTGCGCTTCCTAAATGGGGTCAGTCCCAGTCGCAGGGCGACTGCGCATGCGCACACCGTCGCCTCCTTGTCTCGTCAGTGCCATAGCAACCAGAGCGGGCATCGGCTCAACATGGTGAGTGCTCGCGTGTTGTCGATCATCGTGTCGGTGCCACTGCGTGTTTCTGCTGTAGATATTATATCCGACATAACGCGGAGGCTTCGCGTGTGAGAGGCGCAGCTCGACGGTGCTGTCGCTGTGAGTTAATGCGAGCTAACTTTAATTAGCCGCTTAGCTAACCATACTTGTCAGTGAATGTAGCGTTACATTTCGTGGCTAACGATTCCTCTGAGCCGGGTGCCCGTGTGTGTCATGGGGCTCCGGTCCTTTCTAAATGAGGGGTGAAGTGGACCAGTAAGACTGGATGCTCACTCGGAATGAAGAGTGAAGCAGCTAAAGACTCTGGAAAGAGAATGACAGTGGGACAGTTTATAGTGTGAGCCTTGAGTTCAGTGGAAGGACGTGTGTTGGATCCTGTTGCTAGCGGGTCCACAGTGATCATCACAGAGTAACTCAGCCTCTTCCTGTCTCGTTTAACCCTTTCATACACAAGCTCCTCAAACCCCTTCCACATGGGTCAACGAGGACCCATTTCCTGTGTTGTGTCATGCAAGGCTGGGTGATTCTTTTCTAGCTTTTTCTTCTTTCTTCATTTAGCAGAAGGCTATAAGAACACTCATCTTCTGTCATCAAAATAGCCTTTGATGAGTCTTCCTCTCTTCTTCATTAGAGCTGGATGTACAAGACACACTCACAACTCCAGTTTGATCCTGTGAAACACGACGGCTTCAGAGTTTACAGACTCAATACCAACAAAATCACTTTCCGCATTCTGTTCTTCTTTATTAACATGTCAACTGTAAGTCTGAAATGATTGCGACCAGCCATACTAACACTCTGGATTTAAAAAAAATAATAATCTAAGGCATATTTTCAAATGTATATCAATAAGTC